CTCTACACAAAATTTCAACCGGATCCGTCTAGCAGTTTTTTATTTTTTAATCCTACCTCACGGCAGCGATGAAGAAATTGTTTCTTTGATGCCTTATGATTTGTTTTTATTTTTTTAAGGCGTAAATATTTTAGTTTTAAATTATTTTTTTATATTTAAGTTGTATATATTAATAGTCGTAAAGTAGTATTATGTTAATCATAAATCTGTGTAATTATATGACCATTCCAAACAAGGTTTAGTTGGACTTAAAAAGATATGATTTACACAATGTTACTGTCTGCCATCCTATTTAAAACAATGAAATAAATTAAGTCTCTATTTAACAATGCAGACTACTTATTGAAAGATAACAAGACAAACGGACCAACTTTTCAACAGTAAAATAAAGTAATAATGCCATTTAAGATGCTATCTTATCCTTCAATTACTAATAATTCAGATATGGTTAGATTACAGCATAAAATTTGAATATTTTTTTATATGTGTAATAATAGTCACGTACGTTGCATGTCGTGAAATTAAAATGATTTTTAAATTATTTACACTAGTCATTTTTGTGTCATACGTAGTCAGTGATTCCTGTGTGAAGTACGATTTTGAAGAAAACTTCGATGATATATTAGGTAGCTATGGCATATGTGGCGGCTGGCATGCATGGATTCTTGACGAGTACAGCAACTTGAATTTAGACAGTCCAGATGAGCGTAGCACCAAGTTTATTACACCCACACGTGCTAGTGATGCAAGTTGTTGGTCATCGTTCGTAATTACAATTGAACCGAATAGTAAACTAGAACTTAAAATATACATGGATTCAGAAGACAGTGGTGATAACATAAATGTTTTCGTCGTCGTAGATGGTACTGGTACAATGGTAGGAATGGATGCCGTAAACTCTGCTAATATAAAAGGGTGGTACACGTGGGAAGTACCATTGCATCCTTCATCTACAACTCAAGTTTATGTGAGTAATTCTTTATCTTTCTAACGTATGTTTTATTGGTATTTCGTTGGTAATACAGCTTAATATACGGATTTTCTTTTGTCAGATTTTATTTTTAAGAAGCCTGAGCCACATACCCATTACAGAATATTACTTCACAAGTATAATCTGCAACGAAATTATATGCAGTTTAATAAATGATATCTACTAATGCTTTTTTTATTAATGATTTTGTTATGGGCTCGTGACACAAAATTCTTACCTATCAGTGGGTCGGTAACTTATATACCTCATTTGACTGACAATAGTTATTTTTAGCCTCGTTGGCCAAGTGCAACTGCCGGGCAAGGGGTTTCGGGTTCGATTCCCGGGTCGGGCAAAGTATTACTGGGTTTTTAAAAAATTCTCCGTAGTAGCACGGAGTCTGGAATTGTGCCCGGTATATGGCAATAGGCTCACCCCCTACTACATGGGATTCATAACATAAATAGTGAAAAGTGGGTGTTACTTTGTAGTGGCATAATGTGCACCTCTGTTAATATTAGCTTTTTAATTTTTAATAATTTCTTTGCTTTAAGTTCTTGGTTTTTGAAGACTTCTTATAATAACTGGTTCTATTGTTATGTGATAATGCTTATCTTATTTGTAATATGTATCCGCCCGCGCTTACGGTGGCCGGAGATCGTCCCACAATCCCCGAGTGTCCTTCGCGACGGCTGGGTTGTGAGGAGGCAGCGCTTCGCTGCCTCACGCGCCCCGCCTCCTCCTTAGCTAGCATAATTGCTTCGCAAAAGGAGGAGACGGCATCCCAGTTCCCCTCGCTCCGCATCATGACACGCACTAGGGTCGGACGCGAGAGGTCGCCATCGCCGATCACGTCCCTGAGGACGCGGCGGTGCTCAGCCCACGCAGGGCATTACCCTACTGTATGTTCCACCGTGTCCTCAGGGCGGTCCTTGCAGTAATGACACCCGGGCGTTTCCTCCCGCCCCATCAGACACAGGTGCCTCCCGAAACTTACATGTCCGGTAAGGACCTGCGTCAGGCGGTAGGTGAGGACGCCGTAGCGTCTCTCAAACCACTCCTCAAAGAGGGGACTTACCGCTGCAATGGCAGCGAGCCCAGCCCTCGGTTGCGACAGTCCTTGCTGCCATTCCGCCATGAGATCGCGCCGGAGCTCATCCCGCCACGCCCGCACTTATCTGGTGCGGCTGTGGAGTTTCGCCCCCGCGACGGGCCTCCGCGCGCTGAGAAAATACACCCGCGACCACCTTCGCCTCCAGATCCCACGGCGGTAATCCGGCAAGGAAGTTCACCGCCTCCCCGGAGATCGTACGGTATCCGCGGATTATTCGGATCTCCATGACCCTCTATGACGTGAGCAGCGCCCGAGCGGGCCGCCGCATCAAGTTCGGCGCCCGCACAGGGGCGCCGTAGAGGGTCATGGACCGCACGATCCCAGCGTATAACCTCCGGCAGGAGGCGTTTGGCCCCCCGAGGTTGGGTAGGAGGCGCTTAAGCGCCGCCCCTGTCCTCTCCAACTTAGGAGCCAAACGTCGGAAGTGTAAATATTTCAGACGTGTGAATGAAAAATTAAACTATGGAAGCTAGTAAGACAAATTTTGAAACCATTTGTATCAAATAAAAATATATTTAGATTTAACTCGTCGAGTACCGGTTTTGTAGACACAATTATAGAACAATAGGTTGCGGTCACCGGTGACCGCTTGGTGTTTGACAGTTTAATAGACTTGGAAGTATACAACAACATTTATTTTGTACCACTAAACACAGAAACAATAAAGTTATTTCGAGTAAGGAAACATATTGGGATTTTTTTTAATTCATAAAAAAATAATCTGTTATCAACAGTGACATTTGGAACGAAGGGTTTTCTGGTAAATGGTAGCTAATGACCTCCCTGAAAAAATTGTGTCGGTACATGCGCGAAACACCCTGCATAAAACTGAAGAGTTTTTTTTGTTTGTACGCGCTAATCCCGGAAACTACTAGTCCACTTTACATAACTATTTTTATGTTGTATATATAGTACATTTATCGACGATCGACGACGATCAATAGGAGCCGAACAGAGTGGATGAAACTGCGCAGAACCAGCTAATATACAGTAAATCTGATCATTATCCTTACACATGACCTATTGATGAGATCTCAATAATTTACACAAGGCGTAGTTAGAAACACTGTTTAGAGTGCGCGGGGTACTTTGATTCATAAAAAATGAATCTGATTTTTTTTTGACACACAATATAACATTGTGCCTGGTATGGAACCCTCCGTGCGCAAGTTCCACTCGCACTTAGCCGGTATCTATACATATTATTCAAACTAGTTTCAAATATTCTAAAAAGAAATGATGCATAATTTTTTTCGTTACTCACAATAATTATATTGTGTCATAGTTTCTAGCTTTCTTCTTTCTAGATTTCTGCCTTAAAAATTGCGGAATGTCCTATACAAACCATTTTAGAGAATTTTCCAATTCGCATTTTAGGGAAGTGGTGAGAGAAAGAGACAAAAAGTGCGCTATGTCACTCTCCATCACATCAACTAAGTACCTTCAGACAAACTTGCCGTAAGAGAAGTCGGTTAATAATAAATAAATACAAATAAACAGCGTGTGGCTGTTTCGCAATTACACACACTTTTGCAATTTTAATATTAGTGTAAAAGTATGGATTCACATAGTTGTTAAGTGGAATATGCAGACGCCCATGTTATATACACCGTAAAATCTATTTAGAACAAGGTTTAATTATAGTTTTACAATGAAATAAAAAGTTTAAAACAAAAAATAATATGCAATGGCGAACCATTGCAAAAAGTAAACTTCGAAAGTACATACAAACTCATAGTACATAATCAAAACATCAAGCCATGTAATTCCTGAAGAGGTATTTCGTCTCACGATGCGTTGCGATGCAATGCGAATAGTGCCTACAAAGTGCCGACGTCTAGTGTTTTATGTCCGTTTCTCCATGAACATTTTTTTAACTAAATAATATGACACCTTTATTTTTTGTTTTTCTTTACAAAAGTACTTCTCGATAAATTTCACGGTGTATAAAGATTACTTTGTACTACATTTTCCCTAAAAGGCTTGCTTTGGGAGTTTGGCGTAATATTTGACAGATTTTGTATATATGGTAGTGTGCTTTATTTTGGTGTTTTCACATATTTACCTCCTGTCATACCAAATTACAAACAAACCAGGTAATTTGATAGTTACCTTTTATACAAGCCAAGTCACGCGGTCGGGAATATCACTAAGATTGCACACTCTACACTTGTAGTAGCTCTACGTGTTCCGTCTTTTTGTACAGTCTGTGTGTTTAACCAGGTTATCATACCTAAGTGATGCATGTTTGCATCTCTACACTAAACTTACGTTCCACATAACCGACGCGGTACATTTTTCAATTTGTTCGAAAAGTATATTCTTAACACTCACAAAATGTCCCAACACTTAGTTCTTACAAAATGATTCTGGCACACACTTCCTACACTTGGAGGATACAAATATTAATTTTATTTTTTTTATTATTATTTATTCTTTATTGTTATAAGTTACGCCAAATAACCGTGAGAGGTTATAAATATGCACTTTGAAAAAATATTTTGGTGTAAAAATTACGTACGTGACGACGTAAGCGTATCTATACGTACATATAGATACGCATATCTAATATAAAATTAAGCTGTAAAATACTAGAATAGTAAATAGAGTAAAATACTAAATAAAAAAAATTAAGTAGTAAAATAATAGAAAATTAACTTATTCACAAATACGGGACCGGATTGAAGTTGGATTTAAAATTGTTAATTAATTTTCAACAAATAAGAAATATGTAGACAAGTGGACAAGCAATTAGATTCTGACAATTTTGGTTTACTACACCGTTAGAGATTTTATCTTATCTATCCATTACAAATAATTAAGATACGATTAGATTACAAAACTACAATATCTTCTTCAAATAAAATTAGAATACGATTTAGATTTTATATCTGTAGTAGTCACAAACGAAGCATGCCGTGAAAACGAAATGATTCTGAAACTAGTTACACTTACTTTCGTGTCGTGCGTAGTCGGTGATTCATGTGTGAAGTACGATTTCGAAGAAGGTTTTAATGATTTTTTTAGTAATTACGGAGTGTGTAACATCATGCCCTTATGGATTATCGGCGAGTATAGTACTTTGGGTTTGACTAGTCCAGTTGAGCAGAGTACCAAATTCATCACACCTCATACAACAATGAGTTGTGCATCATCGCACTTATTTACAATGAACGCAGGTGGTAGAATTGAATTCAACATTTATATGGAACGAACAGATGTTAATGATCAGATACAAATATTGGCGAACCAAGAGCTGCCTGATGGTTCATCATTTGTAACAGGAATGAATTTTGCTAATCTTGTGAATGGATGGGACATTTTAAATGTACCCCTAGTTGGCCCAAATTCTTATGAAGGATACGTAAGTAATATAATGTCTTACATTAAATGAAATAAGAGCGACAGTTTTGGGCCTTACTTAGATATTGATAAAGCGTTGTAATGCAGCAAGTACTAAGTGTTTGTGTGTGTCTCCAATACCACTATACCTGCTAAGGTAGTCAATTTCTAGGAGCCAAATGAGACATTTATATCAAAATAAAGTTAACATAAATTATACTTTTTTGTTTTACTTCACGTACATTCCGTAAAAAAACTGAAACAAAACAATATTGTACATTATTAACATTAAAAAAAATATTGTTAAATATAATGTAAACTAACAACATTTTTTTACTATTGTTCGTGTTCTATCAATGACTATTTTATTCTATTATTTTGTATGGTTAGTGATATTCAATACACACGCAAACATTCCTTAATGACATTTTATCCTTTCGACAAGAAGCAATCTTAGATGACTTCATTTTCATCATTGTTCCATTATTATATGTTACGAAAAATTCCATGAAATATATATTTATACATCAAGTACTTGATACATATGTAATTAAAACAATACTTTGATTGATTTCTAAATTTTACATGCATTAAATCACTGAATTAAATAGAAATATATAAACAATTGAGTGCCTGATTAATTTTGAAAAATATAACTAAAGTTGTTGGTTTAAAAAGGCGCGATGTCATGTTATGTTGTTGTTTATAGCCTAGATATAAGTAACCTAGCAGTTACTTTTTTAACACGATAGAAATCCGACACAAATAGTTTCAAGTACCCAGGAAGAATTTTTATTAGCCTATGAAACACTTAAATCGTCAAAAAATAGCGTGCGACAGCCGTAAGTTTAGTACCTTATAAACCGTCTGTAGCACACAAAGATCGTACTGCGCGCCCGCCGCTTCAAGTATTTTTTTTGTAAAAATAAAGTTTAGCTTGTAATAAAAACCGGTTGTAAGGAAAGTGTAGTGTTTGTGAATTTATTTACGTATGCGAGTTTTAAATTGAATTTGAAAACTTTGAATGTATGGCTAAAGGTCCTGAATGAAACATTGACCATATGAAGCTGGTTCAGCTTTTATTTCGTTTTGCTGTCTTCTACCTATAGCAATGTTGAGGATGAATGCCTTTAGTGAGTGGACATAATAAATAATTGGACTTCATCTAACAAAGCTTACTCCCACAATGTATAGCCACTTAATATAAGAATATTATGTTTCGCAAAGAATGGTTTGTAGCTTTCGATATTCTCTAGATTAGTAAAAATTCGTATATATTTATTTTGTATAATAAGCAATATTTTCCACACCGTCTCTCCACACCATGATTTTGTGATTAAAACAGTATTAAAATCAGAAGCAAAATTTCTACAAAATTAAACATTTAAAACACTTTAAATACTCGGAAAAAGTGACATTAGTACTTGCCTGAGTGCGAACCCGCATTCTCATGTGTGCGCAACCTCGAGTATAAGAGAATGTGATAGTGGAATAATCTGATAGATAAATAGATAAATCCGATATTTGACGAAACCAGCCTTAACGAAAAGTAAACAATGTGAATTAGAGCAAGAAGAGGCTGTTCGTATTCGATGATGATAATGATGATGATGATGATGATAATGATAATTAACAATTTGTAATTATACTTTGTTTCAGGTATCCATTATGGGCATGGCATCGGCTGATTCAATTGTTTTAGTTGATTCATTCCGATATTTACCCCCTAATATGAGTAACAGTTCATGTCCCTTCTATGGAGATGATCCAGAGCCAACAACTACACCAGAGCCAACTACTACTCCAGAGCCAACAACTACACCGGAGCCCACGACTACTCCAGAGCCAACAACCACCCCCGAACCTACAACGACTCCTGAACCTACCACTACTCCTGAACCTACAACTACTCCTGAACCTACAACTACTCCTGAACCTACAACAACTCCGGAACCTACAACAACTCCGGAACCTACAACTACTCCGGAACCTACAACTACTCCGGAACCTACAACTACTCCGGAACCTACAACTACTCCGGAACCTACAACTACTCCGGAACCTACAACTACTCCGGAACCTACAACTACTCCGGAACCTACAACTACTCCGGAACCTACAACTACTCCGGAACCTACAACTACTCCGGAACCTACAACTACTCCGGAACCTACAACTACTCCGGAACCTACAACTACTCCGGAACCTACAACTACTCCGGAACCTACAACTACTCCGGAACCTACAACTACTCCTGAACCTACAACAACTCCAGAGCCAACTACTACTCCGGAACCTACAACGACTCCTGAACCTACCACTACTCCTGAACCTACAACTACTCCTGAACCTACAACAACTCCGGAACCTACAACAACTCCGGAACCCACAACAACTCCAGAGCCAACTACTACTCCAGAACCAACAACAACACCGGAACCCACAACAACTCCTGAGCCAACAACTACTCCAGAACCAACAACAACACCTGAGCCCACAACAACTCCGGAGCCAACAACAACTCCAGAACCAACCACCACTCCGGAACCTACAACTACTCCAGAACCAACCACCACTCCCGAACCTACAACAACTCCAGAGCCAACAACAACTCCAGAACCACCAACTACTCCGGAACCAACAACAACACCGGAACCCACAACTACTCCGGAGCCAACTACTACTCCGGAACCTACAACTACTCCGGAACCTACAACTACTCCTGAACCTACAACTACGCCGGAGCCAACAACAACTCCAGAACCAACCACCACTCCTGAACTCACAACAACTCCTGAACCTACGACTACTCCGGAACCTACAACAACTCCAGAACCAACTACCACTCCTGAACCCACAACAACTCCAGAGCCAACAACTACTCCAGAACCAACAACAACGCCAGAACCCACAACAACTGCGGAACCAACTACCACTCCTGAGCCCACAACTACTCCGGAGCCAACTTCTACTCCGGAACCTACAACTACGCCGGAACCTACAACTACGCCAGAGCCAACAACAACTCCAGAACCTACAACGACTCCTGAACCTACAACTACTCCAGAACCTACAACGACTCCTGAACCTACAACTACTCCAGAACCTACAACTACTCCTCAACCTTCAACTAATCCGGAACCCACAACTACTCCGGAACCTACAACTACTCCTGAACCTACAACTACGCCTGAACCTACAACAACTCCAGAGCCAAGTACTACTCCTGAACCTACAACTACTCCGGAACCTACTCCTGAACCTACAACTACTCCTGAACCTACAACTACTCCGGAACCTACAACTACTCCGGAACCAACCACCACTCCTGAACCGACAACAACTCCGGAGCCAACTACTACTCCGGAACCTACAACAACTCCTGAACCTACAACTACTCCTGAACCTACAACTACTCCTGAACCTACAACTACTCCTGAACCTACAACTACTCCTGAACCTACAACTACTCCGGAACCTACAACTACTCCGGAACCTACAACCACTCCTGAACCTACAACTACTCCTGAACCTACAACTACTCCTGAACCTACAACTACTCCGGAACCTACAACTACTCCTGAACCTACAACTACGCCTGAACCTACAACTACTCCGGAACCTACAACTACTCCGGAACCTACAACCACTCCTGAACCTACAACTACTCCTGAACCTACAACTACTCCGGAACCTACAACTATTCCAGAACCTACAACTACTCCGGAACCTACAACCACTCCTGAACCTACAACTACTCCTGAACCTACAACTACTCCGGAACCTACAACTACTCCAGAGCCAACTACTACTCCGGAACCTACAACTACTCCTGAACCTACAACAACTCCAGAACCTACAACTACTCCTGAACCTACAACTAATCCGGAACCCACAACTACTCCGGAACCTACAACTACTCCTGAACCTACAACTACGCCTGAACCTCCAACAACTCCAGAGCCAAGTACTACTCCTGAACCTACAACTACTCCGGAACCTACCACCACTTCTGAACCCACAACTCCACAGTCAACTACTACTCCGGAACCTACAACTACTCCAGAACCAACAACAACACCGGAACCCACAACAACTCTGGAGCCAACAACTTCTCCAGAACCAACTACCACTCCAGCACCAACCTCTACTGCAGAATCAACAACGAATTCTGAACCAACCACAACTTCACTGCCAACAAATGATTGTGATCTTGCAAATACCAACAGTTTTTGGACACCACTTACTATTACAATGGTTGTTCTACTATCACTCATAATCCTTGTCCTTATATGTCTGCTATTTTATGAAATTGGACGAAGAAGAGCTAAAGCTGCAGCAGTTGCCAAGATAAGTGCAAGTTTAGATTATGAAGACATTTCAAGCACTTTTAAAGTACCACGTGTAAAACATGTATTCCCTGACGTCAATACAAATCCATACGCAAGAAGTAGTTCATTTTTACCTTAATAAATTCTTGTTTTCAATCAAGATCATGCGAGAAATTTATGAATTGCAGATGGATCAGATTTAGGTCCACATTAAAAAGAACAAGCAATTTGCTCTTTCCGGTGGATTAATTCTGGATATGAGCTATATCTTAAGTTGAATTTACGAGCGAGTCCATATGGAGAAGGTAAAAGCTTAAAAAATTACTACTTATTTTCTATCTTAATACCTATTAATGAAAGTCGTGTTCCTTACAGTATTTGTAAGTCTAGAACGGCTAAATCAATTTGGTTGAAAATTGATGGGGAAGTAGCATAGAACCAAGAGTCAGACATAAGACACTTTTTATCCAAGGACTTCCTGAAAATCCTACGGGAACGGGATAAATCGGGATTGCGTGCAAGAAGTCGCGGGCAGAAGCTAGTTTCTTATAAAACAGTGACTGGTTTCGTTTTTGTAACATTTGGGGAATAAAGCAATTGGGATGATGATAGGGTATGAAAATTAAAAATATAATTAGTCCATAAGTTAGGTAATGAAAAAAATATTAGACACTATTTTTTTATTTTCTCGTATAACAAAATAATTAGACAAAACGAATCAAGGTTTAGAAGTGGGGGCTAAAACGTCATTTCTACGTTTAAAATGTACATAGAAGTGACGTAACACGCCATTTCAAGTCAATATATCGTCGAAAGTATTCGTTTCTATAAGAAAATAAAAAATACGTGTCTAATTTTTTAAAATAATGTACTAAACGGACATTAAAATACAATTTAGGCATCTTAAATAGGGTTATTTAACATAATTAACGATTATCATAAAATGTATCAATATCAATGTTGACGAATGCAAAAAAGTTGAATTTCAATTCAAACGTTTCATCGTTATCATAAACGACATCAAAGTTTACAAAAGTAAATATTTTAAATTTGTCAATAAGCATCGTAAAAAAAAATTCTCGTCTTATTTTTATCAGAAGATAATTAAGCCTATTATGACCAATTGCATCGATTTATAGTATTGTTGTGATAAGTATATTACAGATACAAGCCAAACAGTAACCCCATTATCAAAAGTATTATTTTTTAAAGTTTAAATGCAACTTTATCGCTTAAAGTAATAAGAGTAAACTAACGTTTTAGATTTGTCACCCGGTATCTATCTATCACAAGTTGTATTAAGATAACAACTACGTGTGGACTTACTATACTTGTATTAAACACAAAGGAATATTTTTATTGGCTAAACGAAAACCGATCTCATATTAATATTACATTTGTAATTTATGCTTAAATAGTAGATATGTATGTGCATATAGTCTAGTCGCTTCTAAGAAATGCTGACATAAGGTCGATATAAAGGAATGCGATGATAAACGTTTATGTTACTCAGAAGTTATCATTTATTAATATGATATCTTATCCGTATCCATTAGCAATTATTTAGATATGTATTGGATTTAAATATGAAATAATACCTGAATATTTAGTATCAATTGTTCATAGTTGTACATTTCGTGTACCGAGATGATTCTCAAAATATTAATTTTACTAATCTTTGTGTCGTTCGTAGTCAGTGATGATTCTTGTGTGACATACAATTTTGAAAAAAACTTCAATGATTGGTTTAGTGATTATGGCATAACATGCAATGGTATGCCAACGCTACCATGGATGATCGGCGAGTATAGTAATTTGGATTTACCCCCACCAAACAAACTCAGTACCAAGTTTATAACACCGACACTAGGTGACGTAATAAGTTGTACGACGACCTTCTTTTTTACAATGAACAATGGTGGAGTGATCGAATTTGAGATATATACAGAAACAGAAATCAATCATATGTTCCAAATTATGGTCTTTGAAAGTGCAACCCATGATGTTCCTGTAGGTATGGTCAATCCAAACCCTGCGAAAGGATGGCGTACTGTGACGATAGGACCGTTGAGCGGCGCAAACACATATGAAGGCTATGTGAGTACTGTATATTCTTATAGTTTTCGTTTAAGTGACATAAACAACAAACATAATATCATCCCAAAATTACAAACCTAGTAGACCACGGTATAATATTTATAGTTACCTATGCTAAAGATATTTGTAATAAAATAATACAGTGTAAATTCATGTTAGTAATAAATTCATTCCTACCTAATTTCGATTTAAAAAAAATACGTTTGTTAATCTTTTTGCGTTCCATTACGCCACTGACGTGATAATCACCTTAACCTTTAAAGAAAGACCTAAAATATAATAAATTATATGTATAGATAGAGCATAGGGTGGTGTGGCTTAGAGCACTGAAAGGTTCTCAATTGTCAAACATGAGGACACTAATTCCTTTATTCGAGTTTTATAATAATTATATATTAGTTAATGTAACTAAGATTTTAATATAGACTATCAGTACTCTAAAAAACAATATATGGAAAATATTCGAAATATTCCATCACCTCTTTGAACTTGACAATAATCTATTTCAATATCATATCTGTCTTGACTGTATTGTTATATCTGTTTTGACTGTATTGTTAACATCAATTCATCCACACCTCATTTACGTGTCCGCACTAAATAGTAACAGACTAGCTTCTGCCAGTGGCTTTACCTGCATTCCCGGAATAAAGATTAGTTATTCGTAGTTATTCTAAACAACAATCTATCTCTGTACTAAATTTTATCAAATTATCCAATTAAACTTTCCAATTTGTACGAATAAATTTATATTTCTCAACTTTAACCTAATTCTGCTTGTTCCAGGTATCTATCTTGGCAATGGCATCAACCGATTCTATCATTTTAATTGATTCTTTTCGATACATACCACCGTATAAGAATCCAGAGTTATGTCAAATCTATGAAGAAATTACAACAACAACAACAACAACAACAACAACAACCACTCCAACGACCACAACAACCACCCCAACGACCACAACAACCACAACGACCCCAACTACAACAACGACCCCAACTACAACGACGACCCCAACAACAACAACGACCTCAACTACAACGACGACCCCAACTACAACAACGACCCCAACTACAACAACGACCCCAACTACAACAACGACCCCAACTACTACAACTTCCCCAACTACGACAACGACTCCAACTACAATAACAACGATCCCAACTACAATAACCACGTCAAGTGGTGTACATGATCCCACGAACGGAACAGATTCACCGTATCCTTGTCTGACATCACCACTTCCTGACCCTGATAATACACAAAACAAAAATAGTTTTTGGAGTCCACTTATAATCACAATGGCAGTTGTTCTCTATCTTATTATCTTTGCCTTAATATGTTTATTATTTTATAGACTTGGAAAAAGGAAAAGAAAGTCTCAAGATGCAATAATTAATAAAATTGAAGACATCCCCAGTACTTTAAAAGTACCGAGGGTAAGAAGTGTATATCTAGATATAAATATTAATCCATATGCGAGTAATGAAAATGATACAGCAACACCATAAAACAGAACAATAATATACAAAATTTGCTTATGTTTTTTAACTAAAAATTACCTACTATTCTAAACATGATCTGAAGTCACAAGCTAGGTATATTAAAACGCCAAATCCAGATATCATCGCATCGTAACCAATTGAAATAGTGGAGTTTTGTTGTAAAACGTGTCAAGAGCCGGAAGCTTGACATCCAAATTATTATATTATCCAACATTATGTGATACATAATACATGTTATGGGTTTTTAAGCAACGCGACTATGATCAACTAACGACACGACTAATATCTATGTTTTAATAGTGACTGGAAGTACATTATCATCACTATTACCAGTCGGCTGACCGGCTTTATTATATATTATTATGAAAGGCTTTATTTATATTGCATTGTAGATATGTTCTGTATTTTATAATTACTGTAATAATATTTACCAATATTGTTAATTGTAAAATTATACCAATACCACTTTGTATTGCTTTTTGAGACAACCACTTCTTAATTTTTGGAACCCAACAGAGAATGGAAGGGCATTAGTAAACGATCTCAAAAAGTAAATAGGTATTAGATATGATAATACTTAGATAACATTAAATATTACAATAATTTATTGTAGAAGATTAATCTAATCACAAATACTACTAGAGTGGTATAAATTGTATCTAGCTTATGATTATGTTAATTTATTTTATCATTTATAGGAAAGGTGATCAGTTTTCGACTACGTTATACATTAAATGACTTATTAATTAATTATTACCTATCTTATAAACACAAAGAATAGTATATAGTCTATTATTTGTAATGTCATTAGAAATAATGGCTAAAATATACTCGAATGTTATATTTTTGTAAAGTATAATGTGATATTTTTATAGAGGTAAATATAATCACATAAGTTTTATATATATCATGTTTTATTACTTTACCCCTTAGAAGTTGAAAATGTTGAACATTTTCGTATTTTTGTAGTGGTACAAATGTAGTGCGATACGCGATTTTTTTATAAAACGTTAACGCAATTTTTTATCTGTTAGGAACTCATGGCCAGTGTAACCTGGAATTAATGAGCAAAATACTATTTAAAATTATTTAGAAAAGCCCACGTTACCACGCCTTATAAAATCCTTGAATATTATTAAAAAAAATACTTACTTATAACTGTGGTGGTGACTTCCTCTTTATTTATGAATAGTTACAAAGTCAAAAGTTGAAACTTTTGACTGAAGTAAAACGGGAATATGGATGATTTAGTCTTATTGATTAATTGATTTCATTTTAACCTCGGCGTTATAAATTAAGACGTCACAGTATCAACTTTTTGTTGTGTTTGTTATTGTCAGGAGAAGGATCTTATGGCACATTGTTTTTTATTCTGGGTTTTTTAAGCGGGAAAATCATCGAATGACTGCTCCCGCCTGGGTGAGGCAGGAGGGTGTGTCAGACTCTTACTGACTAAAAACCACCCCGTTCCTTCTCCTGCATTTCGAGCCGGAGCCCCGGTAACCCGTTAGGTTCTTCGCGACTCCGAATCGGCATCAGCTCTATTGGGCCCCATCTGTGGTGGTCTGATGGCTCCATGAGGCGCGCGTGGAACGCGACGCGCCTTACGCTCGAGTCTGGTTCTGGTCGGGCGGCGAGCTAACCATGCTCGCCGTCCGCAGGCCCGCGCTTACGGTGGCCGGAGACCATCCCGCGATCCCCGTCGTCCGGATCGTCCTTCGCGTAGATTATGCTCGGGTAACACATAGGCTTTTTATCCCCCGAGCGTACGGCGCGTCGCGTTCCGCGCGCGCCTCAAAGAGCCATCAGACCACCACAGATGGGGCCCAATACGGCCGATGCCAATTCGGAGTCGCGGAGAACCTAACGGGTAACCGGGGCTCCGACTCGACGTGCAGGAGAAGGAACGGGGTGGTTTTTAGTCAGTAAGAGTCTGACACACCCTCCCGCCTCACCCAGGCGGGAGCAGACATTCGATGATTTTCCCCACTTAAAAAAAAAAGGCTTTTTATCCCACGAGGCCGTGGGCGAAATCGCTGGTAGAAGTAAATAAATAAACGATAATTGAGTTTGTAAGCTAAAACAAGGCGCAGTATTAATTTGTATCGGGTATTAAAGCCACACACGATATGAAACATCACGCCTTTTTAGAAATAGATACATTCAATGTGCATTATACAGAGTCCGTACCTACAACCTCTTTTGACCAGTCATGTCATTAACCTCTTGAAATAGTGTATGAAATACTACAAAACTAAGTTTTTGTATATTGTTTCACTAATTGAAGTCAATGAAAATTACATACAAAAAACTATTATGATAAGCTGTCCTTGAATGCAACGTTGATTTCAATAACATTGACTATGAAAATTAATTAATTTATCATTAGATCTTGATTACCACCGCAGTCATCCAAAATATCGTTTGATAAGATATGATGTCATGCAGTGACGAACTTTAGATATATGTATAAACAGTTTAAAGTTGTGTAGATGCCGTTTGGTATCGATGTAGATTATAAAGGAGTGGCACTAAAATTTTTAAGTATTTTTCTTGTAATCTTTGTAAACGACCTGACTATATACGTCTTAAAGGCCCAGAAGTCAACAAGAATCAGGCGAATGGGAAAAATAAAAAAAAACCCCAAATGTTTGTTACAATTAATTTTAGTTGTTCGATTTTTTGTCATAACTAATTAAATACGGCAATCTTCGTATTATCCTTTATCAACTTTTAAAACTTCCGACACACTTCACTAAGCCGTTATAGATTACTCCTACCTACCGTACAATATGTACGTATGACATATGGAATTGGTAGTTTTATGTGCACGAGCATTTTTTTTAAGGGGGGAAAATCATCGAATGACTGCTCCCGCCTGGGCGAGGAGGAAGGGAGTGTCAGACTCTTACTGACTTAAAACTACCCCATTCCTTCTCCTGCACGTCGAGCCGGAGCCCCGGTTATCCGTTAGGTTCTACGCGACATATGTACAAGCATAGATACATTATTCATAGCTACATAATATGTAATTGTAAACGTATAAACCAATATAAGGTGTAATGAAAATGCTGTATGGTATAGCTAACTTAGAACTACTAAACAACGTTTCAAAGTCGGCTAAAAATGCAATACGAATGTGTTTCGTTTATTCAACGGCATTAAACATTTAAACATCACATAATAAGTATAATCAAATGATCCTCTGAGTAAGTGCTAGTGATGTACTTATTTCATGTACTTTTAAACACAAAAGTTAGGTTTATGTTACTTTTATTTCAACATCAAGTCCCGATTAAGTTAAGACAGACAAGAATTCATAATCATTTCTAAACCCATTTTCCCTGGAAGTTAAGGCGCTTGCTTCCGAGTAGGTACGAGGATGCGGATTCGAAAACCTTGCAAGTACCAATGTGACATTTTCCAAGCTACATGCATTTTCTAAGTTTATTTAGACAACAAAGATCACTGGCAGACGGTGTGGCAAACTCAACGGTGTAGGTACTATTATCTCATGATGGACAACAGGAAATACATCCACTCGGACAATAAGGTGGTCCTACAAAAATAATACAGCACCAGTACCTAAGTACATACTTAATAATTTAATAAAACAAAGAGACTATATAAATAGAGTATATATTTTTTTTTAAGGGGGGAAAATCATCGAATGACTGCTCCCGCCTGGATGAGGCGGGAGCCCGTGAGGTTCTCCGCGACATAGAGTATATAATAAGGAGCAATTATTATATAATTCGGATTCAACAAAAAGTACAAAATTACTCACTTCCGACATTTTTTATCAAACACGTAGGTATGTATACTGTGATGTATAACAAATCTTTGTCATTAGACGAAATCAAATACGTTACGTGACTCGAAGTATCTGCACGTTTCATTTTGCTCTAACAAATTCTCAAAAAAGTGTATACAGGTATAGTCCACGTACAATGACAAGGACATTCTTATAAAAGCGTACAAATTGGTTTCTAATTCATAAAACTCAAATTTTTACTTACAAGTCATCTTGTTCTTGAGAATTATATACATACTGGGTAATAATTAGCTACATAAAATATAGCATTATAGCCCATTTTAAGACATCTGTTAAACAAATATTTACAAAAAAGATATAAAAAAGAGCCTCAGATTAGATAGTGAATAATTCATATAAAAACATAACACCGGTATTTATAAAAAAAAAATCAATAACTTTAAGACTTTGACTGCCATTAAAAAACTGTTGAAAAGATAAATCCTCCGCTAACGCCGGTCACCGGTGACCCCCATGGCGTTTAACGTGTTAAAAAGATAAGTCTTGGACAAGGGATCTCATTGTAAAATCGATATAATAAAACCCCAGATTGCAACGTACTATACCTAATAATTGCTTAGATATTATTAGAATACATGACTGTTGAACTATATCAAGAATAAGCTTTATATAAAAGAAATAAACCTATTTCAATATATTAGATACCTATAAGAAAACTTAACGAGGTCATTCGCATCAACCTTGACGATCATAGTAGAAGGAAACGCGATATTTTAATGCTGCTCTCCCGGGCGTATATTATGTTTCCTAACATAATGTAGTGTATTGGAAGCTCAAGTCTTAGAACATAATTTTCTTTGAGTTATGAAGTAAATGCTTAGCTTAATACATAATAGGTATTAAGTGTACCTAATAATCATCAATATTTTATTACTGTGTCACCGGTCGACGTAATATTATGTAGTAACAAATAGGATAGCACGATAGAACATCACTACAATAACTATAAATGTTTCCAATGTCTCCTATTTATAAAGTAACCCTTAAATATTTTCCCATATTTATTCCCGACTATCTATAAACAAGCTTCTAACTCTGCGGATGCATTAGCAGTACCTACCTTAATGAATTTTTCAACGTAAAAACCAATATGTCATCCCTGATCGTAAATATAACAAGAGCCCAATGCGTCATAATCTCCATATACCTGTGGACTAGGTGAACAAGATTA